AACAGCGGGCTTCGTTATTTAATTAAATCCTCTCTCATCGCCTTGTGGGATTTCCTGTCGCTTCCAGTTTCAAAATTTGTGACGTGCTTGGAACCGCCAGCTCTGACATTTATAATTTGGTATTTTTCTCTATTTACGATAGCGATAGAACTACAATTTCTACAACGGGTGTCATTATAACATAAACAAATATCGCTGAGAAAAGGTTCAAGAAGTAAACCCGTTGTAGGAAAACAAAAATTGTGGAGAATCATCATGTTTATTTCAGTAGCTGAAGATGTTTCCTCACCAAATGTTTGTGATACCCACATTTGGAAGCTCAGTAAATTTAATTTTCGTTTTATTTCAACTACACAGAAATAGAAGAGTTAAGGTGGATATCATTTCTTATCATGGGTGAAGGTCAAACTCAAGTTTTCCATGCATTAAGTACAGTCATCTCTTACCTTCTACCTTGAGCCAAATGTGTTTTCTTTTGTTACTGTCTAGTAACTATGGTTACGATAGAAACTGTTGGTTTCAAGCTACGATGATCATTAATATTAGAAATAACCTTCCCTCTTCGTCTTTGGGCTCTTTGCCCAAAAACTTAAATCGACAAAATAATACGCGGTGAAGAATTTAACCAAATGCAACGGATTGACTGGAGTAATGCGTCATGGACTGTAAAATGTTATTATTAATTTCTTGAATTGTCGCTCGTCACGTCAGGTGGAAGGGGCATTATAATTATAGATCGTTTTTTTAGTAATTCATACCAAACAAACGCAATGCAGGTGAATTTAAGAGAAAAAAAAGACGGACCCCAATAAAATTCAAGGCAAGTCCTGTAAAAATGGTTTTGAGAATCACACAAACACAGAAAAAGAGGAGAATTCACCACTAGGTACTTCTTAGCTTGATGAATTTTATTTAATCGATTACAGTCTATCAATATAGTTAATCTATGATAATGAGACTGGAAAGACAGAATTTTTTTTTGTAATCCATAATTTTCTAAAACGTGTTTAGTTAAACAAGCCCACTAGAGACTGGGGCTGCACACTGCGGCAGACCCGACGACCCAACATACACCAGGGTAGTTGGGATCCAAATATAGAAACTTCTTTACATAGTGTAGAGCCAGTAAAATCATTGTGTTTTCGCTAAAAATTTGGGTTGAAATGGTCGTGACCAAAAGTTGCACTTGCAAGGCTTGAAATTTTGCGGACTTTGTTACTCCGACCGATTTATTAATAAAGTTTTCATAATGAGACATACACGCCGAGGGTGTACTGTGGGATTATAAAGGACCTCTCTGCGTCTCTGCTATGATTTGTGATTCCTGCAGTCTTGACCGCTCAACACGGAAAGTATGTTCAATCGAGAGTTAAGAAATTTATTTCGATATCATTTACTCCCCAAAATACATTTTGAATTTCTTTAACTATCAAATAAACTATCTATAGATGTAAAGCAATGTGCTGATTAAAATTTCTTCGATTGACCGACCAGAAACCTTAAAGAGGTTGACAAATTAATGATGAATTTCCCTCCTGAGAAATGTAAAAAATTAGAAAAAAATTTCAAAATTGTTCATTAGCATATTTTTCAATAGTAGCAAAGTATGTTGGGTTATTTTGAATGCTCCATACAAAGCTCCTTTCTTCTTTTCTGCAGAATTTTAGTATATGTAGGTTTCGCTATGGTAAACAATAGCGCCGTACCAATTCGGCTGTCGATTGCAACTTATCAATTTTTTTTTCTTAGTATCATGTCCAGTTCTAGCAAATTTCTAGATTCCAGGCTTTTTTTCCTGTTATCTATGTGGTAATATCGTAATTTGCATCAACTCTAAATTCTGTGAAAAATGTAGCGACACAGATCTTAGGGTGAGTGCCAAACTGTCGCCCGAACCTAACCGCTGAGGACTCATAGCCTTTTCTGAGTGCGAAAGAGCGTACCCATATTTTTTATATTCACCAAGGCGCATCCAGCGAGCCTGGCTACCTGTGACTTTATCGTTCATTTCTTCTTTGGTTGATAAATCTCCGAATATGACTTTAAGGTCTATCTCAAAATATCTGTCTAAATCTTCTCGGCGTATTTAGCTTTGAATTCGTTTCAGGCCATAAACGCAAATAAATTTCTCTCACATTTTCGCAGCCGAGATTCCTGACCGCAAAAAAGAAAGAAAAGAAAGTTAATGACTCTGAATGTATGAAAATCATATGTGGGAACTGCGGATTGAGAAATGAATACGAAAGAGATCTGACAGTGAATACTACTTAAGCAGTAGTGAAAACAAAGCCTGAAAATTTCAGGCCATACGGGATTTGAATCTATGAGCTTTGGCTCTACCACATTTATATTTGTATTGTCATCACTCAGGTTTCTACGATCAAAACACAGATCGGCTACACATTTAAGTATGAATTTTAAAATAATTGAAATCATTACAATTAAGAATGAATTTTTTTTACGTTTTTTAAGTCTAAGAGTTTATCAGTTACATTGCCTAAGATATGTTGATAACAAGTCGATTGTATCGTTTAATTTTGTCATAGAGATACCAATTCTGCCGCATTTCTTGAAAAGATCTTTCCTATCAAATAATTGACCAAAGCGACAATTGATCAACGAACCTGTTTCTCTCAGAAACTCGTCTTGATAATTCAAAAGGGAAACCTCATTTGAAAAGTTGAGAAGAAGCTAGAGTTGCTCGAGGCTACGCCTCGAGCAACTCTTACGCATCTTTCGTGCTCTCCAACTTCCCGCGTGCTTCATATCTCGATGAACGCACGCTGACGTATGAACCAATTGTTAATTTTACAACATTCCGGAATTTGAAGCTTACAACACAGCTATTGTGGAAGAAATAGATCATAATTATATAACCTGTTATAATAAAGTTCGGATATAACGCGCGCTGTCATTGGTTGAAAGAGCGTGCTCTATAAGAGTATAGAGCATAGAGCTGAGCTAAAGCTGTCACGCCATCTGCCAATTGTACTATGTTCGAGCTTTTCCGGGACTTCTTTTTAGCTTTTTTCTGATAATTGAAAGTGAAATTTCGGAACTGAAGCGAGCCGGCAAGTAGCAACAGAAGAATCAAACAAAGATTTGCAAACATACCTGGCGCCGTAATTTACGTTTTTAAACGTGAGCAGATACGAAAATCCTCAAAGGAAAAACACAATAAACATTCCGAGTTTTAAAGATTTTCACGCTCAGTTAGCTAGCAAGCTTACGCACGGTAATTAAAATCAAACACAGCTAAAACTCGTATAGTATGTAACGTTCAGTGTTCAAAAACAAAACAGCATAAAAAAGAAATGATGAAAAATTTAACCAAACTGGCATAATTGTTAAAATTCATGCTAATCATGACGGTGTCTGAGCGAATATGATCATGCTGAAGTTCATCGCGGCTCGCTCATCATGGCGATCTCCGGTCATCACAGTAAAGCAAGCCTCAGAAACTAAATCGGCCACCCTTCGAGTGAAAAATAAGGGCTTGCTCTGATATCCTTTTCGATACGATGAGTGGAAAGTCACATCAGTCACTGCAGCCGAGTTTTGCGGCGCTGTCATCACGAGCGATCTTCATGTTCCGGTGAATTCGGCTGTCGTTCATTCAAAAAACACTCGCCCTGAACAGTTTGTTTTTCTACCTTGTCATGTGAAAAAACTCGCGTGTTTTTAGGAGCCATAATTCGGCTGAAGTTCACTGAACATTTCACTTCAAGATTCTGTATTAGAGACTTAAAAACTTCAGGCAAAAGTGTTAAATTCGACTTGCCGAACTATTTTAGTTTGTAAACTATCGTAGATTGTGAACTTTGATGGTTTTTGAACTTTGATGTTTTGACACTTTTGACAGCTTTAGTCTTGTACAGCCAATCAGATTATTTGAACGATTCTAACAGGGATTCTGATTGGCTTATTGTAGCGGGCTTTATGAGAGTATAGAGCATGCTGACGACACTGTTGTTCGCTTTGGAAATAAAGTTTGTTTTGAAAATTGAAAGTAATGCTTGGGTAATTTAACGGATTCTTTATTATAAAACAAATAGAGAAGCCTTGACTGTGCTCTGTTCTGTTATAAAGCACTTAGGAAGCGACTACGTCTCGTGTTTCTCCCTACACTTCTTTCGTGCTCTAGCCGCTTCCTGCGTGCTTTATAACGGAACAGAGCACAGTCAAGGCTTCTCTATTTGTTAAATAGAATGTTGTAGTTTCCCATCCTATGTCATTAGAAAGTTTGAGTACCAATGTCACAGTGACTAAGAATTCTAGAAACTATGTACAGTCTATCCACAACACACCTAACACGATTTTAAAATCCTTGTACATGATGATGCTAACAAAAGGATAAGCGAACATAGTAAACAAATTGCGTATAGTCAGGGACCGCCGTGACTCATCGTGGAAGGCTTTTAGACAGAATAACAACTACATGCAGAGAAGGCATAGGGATTAACAGTTGCTTTAGTTTCTGCTATGGCAGATAAGCTAACACTCTCCCTTGGACTAACGACCTGAGTAAACATTAAGGGTTCAAAATGTTTTGTAATAAGCGAAATGCAAAGCTCAAAGTTCTGCTTAAAACTTACTTAGTGAAGCTCTTCGATAGGAATAGATAGAGATGATAATTGTTAATATTATTTGGAAGCTAACTAATGCCCATAGTTGTAGACCTTTGCTGGGGGAGAAGAGGGAGTCTATTCTAATACGCGGGTTAACGATAATTGTTCAGTCGACTCTGATGATGATTTCGCTGAGGTTATAGAAGCGTCAGTCTTTATTACTGACTCATACCTTCAGTAAAAACTTCTCAGGAGTACTCATGGAAGATCAAAGTACACGGTCCAAAGGTACTCTTGTGTTCCAACCACTGACTGTTGAACACTAATCATAAAAAGTGGATCATGTGAAATTTTTAAAGTCCCTGTCATACATTATAGTACATGTGCCAATGACTCGATTTGGGAATCCTTTCACTGTGCAGAATAACTTGCTTATAGCATTCTGTCTGTGCCACAATAGCGAAGAAAACAACCAGGTACCTTTTGGAGGTTGTATATAAAGTAGGATCCGCATTCTTTCACACGTATGTTAATTGATTTCTTACAACAATTTTGACCTCCGGTAAAGCAGACATTGAAGGAAACCTCACCATTTGCCAATGTGTGGTGACCGCCGTATAGCCAGCCTGAGAAGATCGCACCACATCTATTATCCGGCACGCACTGGGTTGGCATTTCCCGAATACTATGGATGAGAAATCGTCGTCACATTTTTCTCCACCATAGGGTGTGTTGTAAGTGCTCTTGTTCCTTACATTCGAGACTTTGTAACTTTCAAGTTTTTTTTTTAATTTTTGCTTTCAAAACCTTTGCTTCCAGCTACCAAAAAATGTATCATGAAATGAGGCGCGTGGAAATTTGCTAATAGAGCATAAATGGGGTAAGTCTGGTCCGTCATTTCTCTCAAACAAGCATGATGACCTGTCTTTCTTATTGTATTTTTCGAAATAACCATATGTAGGGAACATTTAAAGAAAGATTTTAAGATTTTAACCGCGGTCAACATTGATTTAACCAACCTGGTTATTCTGTTTGATTGCTTTCAATCCTTTCGAGACACAGCCTCATAGTAATTCAATTTACAGAACAGTTATGCATCATCAATAAAAAATAATGGGGATCATTATTTTGTCTCTTGGTGGACAAAAACAATGCACAACAAGTCTTCAAATATGATATAAAAAAACAAATCTATGTTTCTTTTTCCCTAAAGGTGCGCTGAAGGACGTTTCCAGGCAATTTAAAGGCACTAAAAGCTAACGTGTTTTTTTACATGGCCAAACAAGGATAGCTATTCAGTCAACATTATTTACAGCGAGTTCAGCCAGTACCATCTCTAAAAATGTGTAAGGCAAGACTAACCTTTACAATTCAAACCATCCTCATTGTATCTAGAATTACAGGCGCAACTGTAGGGGCCCTGGTTATTACTGCAGGAGGCGTGCTCATCGCAGATATTCAGTTTTGAACACTCGTCGATGTCTGATAGGGATCAGGCGCAGAACGTCACAACCCACAATTGAGTGTTCTGTAGGACGTTTCAGATTACTTCCCGCTTCGAATAGCTGGGATTGTATGTATAGAAAGAGCAGCAATGAAAATTGCTCTTCTCCGGTCATAAAGGACTTTTCTGGACATTGAAGGAAACTTATTAAAATCACCGAAGCAAGTTTGTCCATCTCCGGTGTATCCAGTGTGGCATGCACATACATGTGATCCAATGGTGTTGGTACAGTTAGCATTCGCATGGCAAGAAAGATTTCTAGCACATTGGTCAATATCTGAGACATCAAAGGCTTCTGGGAGTATGATGCATATATAAATCTCCTTATTTTGAACGTTGAGTGCATTTTGTCATCTTGCTTTCAAGTGGGATGAAGGATTTTTATTTTCTTCCATTGGTGAAAAATATTAAGGCAAGAGTAATTACTTTATCAAACAAATAAAGAAGGAACGTGCAAATTAAACAAACAATTCAAAAAAACAAACACAAACAAACTAAATTTGTTAAAGTCAACGAGGCAATTACAACCTAAAGACCTTTACCTGTGCAGTTCCGTCCATTTCCGTTAAATCCAAAGAAACAGGTGCAGAAAAAGGATCCATTTGTGTTTTGACAAGTAGCGTTCAGGTGAAAATCATGAGTATTTTTTTGGCATTCATCAATATCTAAAAAAAAAGGGAGAGAAAAGAATAATTATGCAACGGTTGTAGTTACACGAGCGAGATATACATTAGGTTTTAAACTCTTGCGAGGCGAAAAAGCATCAAGTTAGTTGTCATTGTGACAAATTAATTGTTACCTTAGACTAAGCCAAAACTTCCATTGCAGTGGAGTCTCTCTCTAGAAACCATTCCAAACTGTAGTCGGATATCAGTTGTCAAAGATCAGCCCTGGTAGCCTTCCTCGGTATACTTTTTTCTGGCGGATTGTAGAACCTATAATTGTATTCTTTATGAAAGTCGACTTTTCTTCTCAGTAAAGGCCTTTTGTGTTTATATGATAAACAAAATAATATATGTTTGCTTGCAGTTATGGACCTTCTCTTCTCATGTTCAACTCGATACTAAGAGATTATAATTAAGTCTATATTCTCTTGCTCGATACCTTACTCGTTTGCTGCTCTCACTCATGAGATAGCGAGTTGAACACTCGAAGAGAAATTCCATATCAACACGCATCTGTGTATTACTCTCTTCTATATTTAATGAGGACAAAATGGCCGAGTTTCTCATTGATAAATTGTCTAATTGTCTTGCAACGCGGCTGAATGGTGCGGCACTGTAGTTGAACGTGTCATGATGCAGAACTATTCTTAATATTATAGCGAAGAGATTAATTTCACCTGTGCAGTTTCGTCCATTCCCATTATATCCAGCTTGACATTGACGTACATGTGATACAAGGATGTTCTTGCATGTAGCATTCACGTGACAAGAGTGATTTCCTTTACACTCGTCAATATCTGTAAAATCATAAACATAAAAAAAAATAATTGTAATAGGAAAAAAGTTGCCGAGCATTATGCTTAGGCTTAGTCTTTTTGTCTTGTGGTTCTAGACGGAAGCACTTCACATTACCACACACTAGATTTTTCCTCGGTTCCCTCAAGTTCAACTCCGTTGTTCTGTCCTTTCAGCCTTTAATTAATAAATTAACTAATAAGGCTTTAATTAGGCCTTTAATTTAATCTCCCTTTGCCATTTGAGATTTTTTACCACTAAATGTTTAATGACAGAATTTCTCTTTACCAAATCAATACAATATCAAAAAGACAAGTGATGAGAATAAATAATGGTAATTGAACTGAGTGGTGTAATTTGTGCTGAAATCATATGCATGATTTCAAAATCGAATGAGCGCGCAGCACGAGTTCGATTTGAAATCACAAGTATGATTTCAGACCAAAATTAGTAGTAGTAGTAGTAGTAAATCTTTATTTAAACTCGGTTAAAAATCTTCAGTTACACTAATAGTATTTTAATTACAATCATTTGTAAAAATTAAAATAACTATAAAAACTGATTTACAAGATTGCCGAGTGTGAATCGAATGTTTCAAGTGCGCGGTTGATTTCCTGCTTAAACTGCCCAATTGATCTAATCGCCCTAATATTCTCAGGAAGAGAATTCCACAATAAGGCACCGCTATAGCCAAAGCTACGTTTCAAATAGTCAGTACGCGGCTTGGGTAAGTTTAACTTACGGAAATAATTACGCAAGTCATATTCTGTATGTTGCTCACTGAATAAATCATGCAAGTACACTGGGGCTAACCCGTTGAGGGATTTAAACATCATTATAGCTTTCTGCTTTCTTCTTCTTAATGATAGCTGATCCCACTTCAAAGTTTCAAGAAGCAAGCTTGAGTTTACCTCACAGTTGGCTTGCAGAATAACCCTAGCTGCTCGGTTTTGCATTTTTGTAGTTTCTCACATAGATAAGAACTCAATCCATTCCAAACAGGGGCACAGTAATCGAAATGAGGTTGGATTAAAGCGTTATATATTTGTACTGCAGTGGACTGAGAAATGAGGGACCTAATGCGCCTCAGAGCACCTATTACCGAGGATATCTTTCTGCATAGTTCTTTGATGTGATTAGACCATGAAGGTCGGTCATCAATAATGAAACCTAATGATTTGGCATGCTCGACCCTGCAAATTGGATGGCCATCTAATTGGATATTAATCTCACTGCAATTTTCTGCAAAAGAAACTTTTGACGACACGAGGTTCAATTGCCACTTTATTACATCAATTTTAAAATCGCTCAGATACTGGACTTGGTCAGTTCAAACATTTTGTTGATGCAGTACTGAGCAGGTCTGAAATTAAATTCATCCATTTTTTAGGGGGAAAAAGTAAGAGTTTTGGAAACAAAAGTTGCAAAAAAAGTTGATACTCTTTGTCTTTCATTTTTCTGCAATTTGATCGGTTACTTTAAACAAGCCTTGAGATCTGATTGGTCGTTTCGTTTTTAGTGTAGCCTCCTCATTGCCTGGGAAAAAGATGCCATTTAAAGCAAAAAATGGTGCGATTCGTGAATAACTCACATCAATTAGAGCCAATCAGATTACAGGGACCGCCGGTGATTTCAAAATGGGTGTAATAAAGAAGAATATCAGCTTGTGGATTATTAGTTGATTCAATACCAAATTCTCAGAACAAACATCAACAGAATTGTACGGCAGACAGTCAAGAGAACTACTAATGAGATAATGAAAGGGTTAATACAATTGTGTCATTATCACCATTGTCGTCAGGTCTATACTCATCACTTTTTTATACAAGGTATGCTGGTAAAACAAGTCTTGCTAATTGGAATGGTTACAAAAGAAACGCATCAAGTACGTGTGCAGTCCCGTCCATTTCCAGTATATCCGGGGTGACAAGTACAAACATACGATCCTTCGGTGTTCGTGCAGGTAGCATTCACCTGACAAGGGTGAGTCCTTTATACTCGTCAATATCTGAGAAACCATGGATGCATTTTGCACTTTTATGACTCATTTTTATGACTCATAGTCGTTTAATTTCTTTAATCATTACATAATATGAAAAAAAAAAAAGGTTTCCTTTTTTGTTGATACATGAATTAGATATTGCAAAATTATATTTCAGCACAAATATTTTAATTTATCAACCTGACGGCTCTGAAACAAGCCAGATGTAGATCATGGTAACTCTGTACATAAACATGCATGGGTAACGCTGCTTAAAATTATGAGACAATTAACAAAAATTAGTTTATTGCGAAATATCAATAATGTCATCTTCAAAATTACCTGAACACGAGCGTCCATCGCCGATGTATCCCACTTTACATGTGCATTTGTGAGAACCATATGTGTTGGTACAGTTTGCATTCACATCGGAGTCACTGATGTTAAATTTACATTCATCCATATCTAAAATGTTGAAAGAGAAGCAGTGACTAAGTAAGAGCAACTTGAGAGAGGCATCCACGCTAGAACTGATCCAAACCAAATATTACGATAATGATATCAATAATAGTTTAATTTATAATAATTTCATAATACTGATAACTCGTTACAAAATAAAATAACTCAAGCAAAGTTATAGGACCTAACTTCGTTAACCATATCACAGTAAATCAGTTTTTCTTTTCCTTTCTTAGTTGGATTCAGCCCTTCACCTTCACTCGCCTTTATTTCGTGACAAGACAGCGCCGGTAATTCACGGATAGAACCTAAGGGAGCTGAGGTAAAGATGTGTTTTACATTCACTTCCTATTCTTAGCTCTTCCAGGTGAGAAAGAACCAGGCTGAAGATGGAGAAGATTTAAAAGATATAGAAATCGCATAGATAGAAAGACATTTGATCTCTTACTTCTGCTGTTCGATCGCCGAATGTAAAACCAAGCGGGTGCTGAAAGGAAATTCTCTGGTCTCGCCTCCTTGGTGCGGTTATTTAGTTCGCATATTTGGTATTTTCGAGTGTAAGTTATAGCAGAGCTTGCAGCGCGCGAAGCGTAACCCAGTAATTATACGAAATAGTAGTAACCCATCAAGCCGAAATTGACGACCAACCGTACAAGGTGTTACTTTTAGCATGCGGGGCCAACTGTACTACAGTCACTATCTTTGCCATTACGTAATGGAAGGGCGAGGGAAAAGGTAATGCGCAGGCGCGATTGCGCGCGTAACTTGGATACTGTTGTGTATTAGGGTTCGTTATATACTACTATAGAGTAAAGCGTGCACAGACCAAGTGCTCTACACAACTGCTTTATTAGAATACCATCGAGTTAATTACACACAATGATATATGAGCATAATCACATGACTGCGGTCAGAGGTGTGCTAACCAATAGAATAAAGATTATGTAATAGCTAAGGTATTTATCAAAATAGGAACAAACACTACATTCCCCCACACTTATTTCAAAGGCTTAGTAATCAGTTACTCTAATCATTATATATTAAATCCTAAACGCTGCGGTGCTTTTCGCTGTCGAGTTGGATAGCGTGTTTGAGGTTGATGTTGAGGTTGCGCTGTCGCGGCTGCGTGCGTATCTTCATCGTTATCATTTTTGCTACTTTTGGTTTCATTTGGTTTTAGCGTTGATTTTTCCGCGGTGTCCTCTTGCGGAGGCGTTACCAGTTGGATGTCAGTGGTATCGTTTGAATGTGTTACACTGATTTCTGGTTTACTATCTTTGTTGCTTAAATGATTTTGGTGCATTTGGTCAACACGTCGTTTCCAAAGTTGTTCTCCGACTAGAACCTTATAGGAGACGGGACCGGGCTGCTCCGTAACAGTGCCATCAAGCCACTTCGGCTCACCACCGAAATTTTGCACCAGAACTTCTTCACTAAAGGGTGAATTCTCTTCCTTTACTAATCTTACCGTATCTGGCCTTTTGATCCGTCTGCCTGTCAAATACTTTCCGACCGAAGTCAGGACGCATTAAATCTAACCTTGTTCTTAATCGATGATTTAGGAACAACTCGGCTGGTGTTTGGCCTGTAGTACTATTTGGTGTCGTTCAGTAACTGAAAAGAAATCGCGCTAAACTTTGCATAATCGAATCGCTATCCTCCACCTTAAAAACTTGCTTGAACGTTTGAACAAAACGCTCTGCTTGGCCGTTGGATCGAGGGTGATACGGAGCAACAAGTGTGTGCTTGATTCCGTTTGCTTTCATAAATTTACAGAATTCTTCTGAAGTGAACTGTGAGCCATTATCACTCACGAGTTGTTGTGGAATGCCATACCGAGCAAACATATCGCGATGCTGGGCATCATTTCTACTTCAAACCATTTTGAGTGGCTATCGACGACAATTAGAAACATTTTACCCATAAATGGACCTGCAAAATCGATGTGCACTCTCTACCACGAGATTTTTTGGCAATCCCACGGGTGTAAGGGTGCCGGTTGAGGCTTGTTACGTGACTTCTGACAGTTGTCGCATTTCCGTACGATTGTGGCTATATCTCTGTCAAGATAAGGCCGCCAAACGTGAAGTCGCGCGAGTGACTTCATACGGACGATACCTGGGTGCCCAGTGTGTAATTCATATAGCACACGTTCGCGAGGCTGGCTGAGAATTATTACTCGAATTTCCCACAGTTTTTTCAGAGCTCATAGAACCCCCGATTCCCTGAGGAGGAATGAGCGCGTAATCTTTGACCAATCAAAGCTCTCCAGAATATCTTTCGCCGCTAATATTACGGATCTATAATTTTTTCGCTATTGCAAGTAAATGTCCCGAGAACAATAGGCATTCTACGCGATGAAACAACTATCTTCGACTGTAATTTCGTGACGTTTGCTAAAAAAAGAAAAGCGATCCGCCAATCTTTTATCTATGTTTTTTACCTTCGTTATAGTGGAGAAGTTATAAAAAATTGCATATAATAATCACCTATGGCTATTAAGACCGGTTATCTTGGAAAGAGGAAATTTATGCTAATGATTATTGAGACGTACCATTGTTTCCTGACATCACGCAGCAGATTACTATTCGGGTTAAATGTTTCCACTGATAAATTCAGTATAAATGTGATAAATCGACTTTTTCTCGGAAGATAAGTAAATTTGAAACGAAAAAAGTCAAACATTATACATCTCAGATGGAGAGTAGTCAAGTTATCATTTCTTTTTCAATTGTTTCCAGATGCCACCTGTTATGTATACCCAGTCTTTGTGAGTATAAATGGGGTTCGTCTGAGAATGAGACGGAAAAAAACTATTTTTTTCTCTGTAAAAAGTTTTTGCCTCGGCATTTTAAGTTGACGAAAGAGATTAATAAGGCTTTGTCTAAAATGAAAGGTATTTTTGATAAGTGGCAAACGAGCGGACGTTGCAGCACCTTAAATTTTTTAATCTTCCATCTTGTGTCCAACTTTCTGAGTAGGATACGCTTAAAAATCTACGTTAAAACACCATTCTATTTCACAAAAATGAGTTCCAGTTATGGGTGGATGGTGAGCGTGGCTGTTTTCCTTACTTGGTTTATTTGTTACTTCTCTCGGTATCAGCGAAGACAATGAAATTTATGTATGAAATAAGATTACACTCATACATGAATCGAACGATGGAAAATGATTGGCAGGCAGTTTCAAAATTTATGTGGCGTTATGGTTTATAATATTGTAGACGGGCCATCAAAACTTTCTCTGTCATCTATTAGCTACCTGAAGACAAAGAAAAACGATTTGATCACAACATATGCGAAGCGTTGAACGACAATCGTGCACTATCTGAAATTGATATGTGATAGACGTTATGCTACAATGTCATTCATTTATTGTTCAAATGTTTGAGTTATTAATCTGGATAGGAAAGGATATTGAATAAAGGAAAGTGAACAAAAAATCGAGCACTGCCCGACTCATTATTTTCGTTGAGGACAGTGTGGATTCAAGACCTTTCGTCAGTCAGTTCGGTTTTTGTCGAACACTCTTTTATTTTAAAAGAAAGAAGTATGTTTGCGTTAATTTTGTATTGCTATTTGTATTACTATTTACCATAATTCAGTCCATCCTCGCCGTGGCCAGAGGCCCCCAATGGTGTTTGCCTTATGCCTTCTCAGCTCTTCCCAGCTGAATTCTCTTTCCCCCATCTCTTTTTGAATTTCAAGGTATAAGATTAAAAGCAGATTTTATCGCGACGATGTCCTTTATGCACAGCTTTTTTTCAATTTATCAGTGACAAATTTCCCGCGAAATTTTCTTACGACAATTTACTCATGACACGTGACCCGCGAAAATTGGTCACTCCTTTTCAAGCCAGGTCTTCACCAGGAAAAACATTCTTTTGGTTCATCCTTAAATCGAAGAGAGGAACGTCACTAATGATTACATGTATTCACATCGCTGAATCAAGTCGAAGATTTTTATAAATGAATATAATAAACAGATTTATACAGCGCCAAATCCACTAATTGTCCATGGTGTTCTACATTAAGATTATTGAAAAGCTGAAAGAAAGGGGGGGAAGGGAAAAAATAAATATATCTATGTATACGAATAAACTAATTTAAATATTATATGATAATTAAACATATTTATCATAAAAAAAATAAATAAATAAGCAGGGTTATAACCTTGTTGAAAAAGATACGTTTTTAAACGTCTTTTAAAACTGTCAGTTGAAGAACTGGATCTTATTCCAAGTGGGATCGAGTTTCATAGTCCTAGTGCCGCCACAGGAAACGTTCTCTCTCCACAAGTCTTTAGTCTCGCTTTCAGGGTCGCATGAAGGTATTGAGAAGACGACCTTAGTGTCCCTTTAGAGGTGCAATAATTAAGTAAGTTACATATGTAGCAGGGCACTGCTCCATTGATAGCTTTGTAGATCAGTGAAAGAATTTTATAAACTATACAGTGACGGACAGGAAGCCAGTGGATCTCCTTTAGGACAGGGGTCATGTGATCAAATTTCCTAGTTCGTGTAACAATTCGAGCTGCTGTATTTTAAACAGATTGCAATCTTGAAAGCAGACGCTGCGGTAGACCATATAGCAGTGAGTTTCAGCTATCTAATGTTGAAGTAATAAATGCGTGAACAACAATTTTCTTCTTCAATGTACTTTCTTATTTGGGCGACTACTCAAACATACAAACCATACACTGCAACACACGTTTTTTCGTACCAATTATCGATATAACCCAATTTGAACAAGTCCTCGCTGTACCAGATTTGGAATTCTTGGTTGTCTCCACCGTCAGGGGGGTAGACAAATTATCAAAAACCAGTTGTGGCGATTCGGTTGCGGCCCAATAGGAAATCACTCTTTGGGAAAAGAAGATTATGGTTTTTTTTCAGTTATCAACGTAGCCATTTGGTTGGGAATGAGACGATTCCAAAGGCATCCCCATTTGGAGTGAAAACTTGACTTTCGTGCATCACAGGTGACGTAACCAGATCTGTACGTTAGTTTGAATGTAATGATGTTACCCGCTTTGGAAGTTCTAAAGAAACCATACGAATTATCTCTTGCTCCAAAGCAAACTGTGGATGGCGTCATCTGTATCCATCTTGCTGTTGGGGAAAAAAACCAGCACATATGTGATGAATTGATTTTGAACAAAAGAATGTTAGTTGGGTAAAAAGAATAAACGGCAAGACATCCAGCCGCTTAGTCAGACAAATGGATAGGAAAACAGGAGGGACAAAAGGGGATTCAGACATCTGGAGGAGCAGACGGACAAATGGCTGGCTGAATAAGACTGACAGTTGGATCCATCGATAGAGGGTCAGGTAGAGTTTTTCATAAAATTATTTCACCAAATGAGAAATGTTTTTTTACCTACCGTTCTTTTCCTCGCAATTAGCGCCCTTGTATTCAGGTGGGCAAAGGCATCTGTAACCTTTGTCTGTAAATCCTGTCTGACATGTGCCATTATGTTGGCATGGAGTCTGTCCACAAGTTTTCTAATGTGAAAACGAGGTTTAAAAGCAGATATATGCCAATTGAAGTGGTAAGTGGTAATGGTACTATAAAATGAAAACTGAAACGTCACATGAGATCAAATCAACCGACCAACCGGCTAGGCAACAAATCATCCACATAAACCAATTGCAAACAAACATTGCGCAACCAGCCAAACAACATGCCAGCGAATCAACTTACCATCGAACATTTACAAGCTAAACAACCCGAGTTTGAGTGAACTTTATATACTAATCTACCGAATGACAAGTAATGTTATTCAAAAATCACCAAGGATAAACGAAAAGCACAAATAGGATAAGAATGTACTCACCATTGTTCCTTTATATCTGTAGTTTGTCCAAGACTTGAGATCCTGAGGATGTTCATTGTATGTGGAATTTTTCAGTTGGCATTTTGTGATCACTAAAGATGATAAATAAAATAATCTGATTGGCTTTACAAGACTAAAGCTGTCAAAAGTGTCTAACCATCAAAGTTCAAAAACCATCAAAGTTCACATTCTACGATAGTTTACAAACTAAAACAGTTCGGCAAGTCGAATTTAACACTTTTGCCTGAAGTTTTTAAGTCTCTAATACAGAATCTTGAAGTTAAATGTTCAGTGAACTTCAGCCGAATTACGGCTCATAAAAACATGCGAGTTTTTTCACATGACAAGGTAGAAAACAAACTGTTCAAGGCGAGTGTTTTTTGTATGATCGACAGCCGAATTCACCGGAACATGAAGATCGCACGTGATGACAGCGCCGCAAAACTCGGCTGCAGTGATTTATGTGAATTGCCACTCAACGTATCGGAAAGGATATTAGAGCAAGCTCTTATTTTTTTCACTCGAAAGGCGGCAGATGTGGTTTCTGAGGCTTGCTTTACTGTGATGACCGGAGATCGCCATGATGAGCGAGCCGCGATGAACTTAGCATGATCATATTCGCTCAGACACCGTCATGATTAGTATGAATTTTAACAATTATGCCACTTTGGTTATATTTTTCATCATTTCTGTT